CACACTATATCCCTCCGAAGCGGCTCATTTAATACGATGTAGGGAAAAATTACATACATTTTTGCAGCATATCGTTTGTGGAGAGATCGTTTCCTCTCCAGGACCATCATCAGCTGTACCACTTTAACATCACAATTTTCCCATTTTCCAATTGTCTGGGTTATCATCACTTTTTTATTATGGACCAGCAGCTCAGAGATAATAAAATATGCTATGTTTTTTCACCCGTCCATTGATAGTTCCGGAAAAGCCGAGCAACCTGCGCTTCTCTCAGGTCGGCGAATCCTCCTTCAATTTGACCTGGGACTCTCCGGATCCACCCAATTCAATTATTTCTCACTACAATATTCGGCTGTCCACGCCGGATAATAAGTTTGTCGTCAATTTTAATGTGTCAGGCGATAAAACTTCACTTATTGCCTACAACTTGAGCAAACTGGAGGTCTACGAGATGAGTATTTCTGCTGTAGGCTCACCTGACAGCGAAGGAAAAGGAGGAGGTGCTGGGTCTTCTTCGGAAATTGCCAAAGTTCAGACTGCCCATCCAAGTAAGAAAGTGTGTCTTCAAACACTATAACAATACAAAAGTTAATCTAATTTTTTAGAAATAATAATAATTTCATATATAAATGTTTATATAATAATACCATAATGTCTTGAAACAGTCTAATTTATTAGTAGTTGTTTGACGTAGATTTCGCAACTTGGTCGGAAGACCTAGAGGAACACACCTTGACCGGAGTCCTTAGTATGCATTGGGATGGGAATGCTGATCCGAAGCTGCCATATCCTCCTTCATATAAATCATTTCAGAGTCTCTCTCTTGTCCCGTAGGATCCGTTTCCTATCTCCCTGGTTCAGGTACTCCAGTTGACCCCTGCCACTCTGTCCGGTACACTCACGCATCGCTGCGTAGACCCACTTGCTTCTCCATTGTTCTTTTCTGGTCTCGTTGCGATGTCTTTTCCACGATCCAGTCGTCTTCTTTTTGCTCATCTTTCTGTTGCCTGGTCTTCTCCCAGTCCGCTTGGGCAGTATGCAAAGTTTTCGCTAATCCTGCCTCCGTCAAGTCTCCTGTTCATTGGATTTCTTTCGGTCAGGATTGTGCTTCCTTCTTGCATCTTGCGCCCTCTTGTGTCTGCACCATATGCGGACAGACTTTCTGCCGTCTCGTTCGAGCAAGTTGTTGCGCTATTTCGCATCTTTCTGTATTGTTCTTCGATGCTCATGCCAATTTTTCTTGCTGTTTCCCCAAAACACTTCTGCTCACATTTGCCGCATTCGATGCGATACACTTTCGAGCAGACCAGTTTGTCAACCTTCTCGTGTTGCGTCGGCAGGCTGGTGAAGAGTGTCGTCTTCTGTTTGCGATTATATTCATATTTCAAGTGTTTAGTGGAGGTCGCAGTCTCTGGCTCAATTCACAAGAGTGCAGGAATATCCACTTTTGGTCGTCCTCCCGATTCCTGACCTTATTTGCATAAGCATTTTCTGCAGAACGTCGACGGGTTTGTAGCTCGGCACGAAGAATGGCACCACTCACTGATGATGCCCACTAAGATGCCAGCGAAGCGTCCGAGAATGTACCAAGTCCACGGCCGGATGCTGGGAATTATGCTGAATAATATGGCAGAGGCTTTCGGACAAGTTGTGTTCAACTAAGTCGCCCTGACGACAAGACCAAGTTGCGAAAACGAGGTCAACCCACTTCGATAAATCAAGAGGAGACTGCGGTGGTACCATCTTGTTCTTCATATCTTCGATTATGTTTATAAAGTCCAAGTTGAAATATGCTCTTTATGAACCCTACATTTTTTTCTACAAATTATTTGGGGTTCCCGTTACTAAGGCAAATCAGAGTCAGTTTGTCCAACTCCTCTTTACAGAAATGTATGTCCGAGAGTCACATGCTTCTGATGAGTAAATCCGTCAGTATTCCAACCTTCTGTTTTTAGTTATAGTAAGACTGAAAATTAAGTATTATTCCTGCATATGAGTTCTTTCTGTATGGTCTCGTTATGAGAGTCCCGTTGGAGCGCATGACTTCAATATCCAGACAAGGTAGTCGTGCATTTAATT